TACTGTAAATCGTTAATAAAGTAATTTTTTTTTATTTTATGACATCTAAAAATTTGATTTTACTTTTGATTCAACAAAAACAAACTAAATGCTTAATATCAAAATCTGCATATTAATTACAGTTTACATGAAAACTATGTATGGGTAACTACAAAAGCGCATAGCTATAAGCTAATACGTAATTGTAAATGATGTGTTATACATTTGTACAATTAACCGCAAAATTATAATTATTTATGAATAACTACTTCTGTATTTGTTGTATTAGCAAAGTGTAAAATAATTACCAGTTTTGATTGATATTCTATTACATACAACACCCCTCCCTGTATACATATCATATATTAGGTAAATTTACGACTTTAAAAGTAAGAAATATCTTCTTAATTTCGAATAATATTCAAAGGTATATGTTTGAATGTTTGATATAAATTAATAATTCTATAGTAAGCGCTTACCTTTGATTAAATATTTCACGTCGAAAATCGAAACTATTGTACCTAACCGCAACCCATTTTAATGCAAAAACAAATGAAAATATGCCTACATTATAGTATTTATCGTATTATTTAGTAATATTAAATTAGTCCAATAATGAGTAACGAAAATGAAACAACCAAGAACAAAACGAAGTTGTCGACGTCGTCGAAAAGTCAACAAAGTTAACCGTTTTCGAATATTATTTTATTCGTTTTTTAACTCCTAGTGATCAAGGATTTGTAATTACAACCATTGCATATAGGCCCTTTGCGATTCACTTACCCTCGCGATAGAGCTCCTTTATGGTTAGTTTCAAACGAATCTACTAATGTGTGCAAATTCATGATTATAACGCATAATAATAAAATAATTTAGGTACAATATAAAATTCGTAACGAACCTGATAGTTGCTATAATTATATGGTTTAAATTATAATAATGCCTATAAATCATAATATATACGGAAGCTGATCTAGTCCAAAAAAACTTGGTAATGTATATCTGTAATTAATTTTTACAGACATAAGCAATTAGAAAATTATTTCAGTTCTTAAACTAGTTATTGCAACTATGAAAAACACTATGAGAGGTGTTGAAGATAAAAATAATGATTGTTATGCGACCATGGATATGATGTATCTCAAGTGTGAATTTGATTATTTAAATGAAAATTTTATATTTTTTCACTTACCCTAGAATTAGTATTCATGTCACAAAATATATTCTTATTTAGAATCAAGTTTTACACATTTATAAAATATACAATATAGACACTTAAACAACAATTAATAAACAATAAATAGGTACACACGTTTTATTTCATGGTGTATGCCAACTTATATGAATTTACTTTAAAAAAAAGAATTATGAAAAGATTCAACAGAAAAAAATTAAAAAAATGAATATGATAAGGTTAGATTGGATTAGCTCAATAATCAGTTTTAATCATAATTTACTAAAATGCTTCGTATCTTCAAATTTTTATTGTTGTGTAACTTTAAAAATAACAAAATCGAAAACGACTTCTTAAAAATATCAACTATAACGATTTTCAATCAATGGATGGACAATTTAAAGCGATTATTTTCTGATTATATAAAAATAATTTTAAAAAACATTACTTATACAAGATTTAAAACATTTCTCGCTTTACTCATTATTTAAAATACATAAAAGCATAATGATGTTAAATTATTTTTTATATGCATTTTTTTGCACTTATTATTCCGTTAAATGATTAATTTTTAACATTTTTAGACTACTGAAACCAAATGACTTGTATAGTAGGTACTTATAAGTACCTATTACGACTGAATTGTCATTGTATTATTATCTAAGTAATAATTATTTTTTTTTACTTATTATTGTTACACTAATTAGTAATACGATATTGAATTTTTCTATATGAATACATTTAAGTACCTAATACAATAAGAATAGAAGAAATTTAATTTAGTTTTATTACTTTATTCATTTTTATTTTTTTGGTAATGGTGGGGAGTAAATGTCTGGATCCCCTTCTAGATCTGTCCTCGAATATATAGAATATTATTTTAGGCTGTATGTAAACTGCGGCAAAATTTACCTTTTTCAAAAAGTCGATATGTAAACTGCGACAAAAAAAAAAATTAAGATTATATAATCTGCCACAAAACCGAAAGATATATCATACAAACTGCGGCAATTTAATTAGATACCTATTGTATTATTATTTATTTATTTATTTTTTTTTTTTAATTAAACAATTTTTTTAAATAATTTTTAATATAATAATAATATTTTTTAATTTTAAAATTGGTTTTTTGATTACACAATCATTACGATCTAATTTTTAATAATAATATATTTTTCAATTTTAAAAATTGGGTTTTCTTTATTTTTACGCCTAGTACTTTAAGAGATACTAATAGCTGCCATAACACGTAATACGTATTATACCTAATTAAACAATAAACGTGTATAAGTATATAAAATAAATTGCCGCAGTTTGTATGATGTATCTTATCGGTTTTGTCGCAGATTGTATAATCTTAATTATTTTTTTGCCGCAGTTCACATATCGACTTTTAGAAAAAGGTAAATTTTGCCGCAGTTTACCATCTCCCTTATTTTAAACCATGATTTATAGAGCATTAATATTATCATCATCGTTTTATCGTTATAGTGCCTATTACCTACATACGTATTAACATGCAAAGAAACTACACACTACACGATAAAATATAAACAAATTACACAGGTACCTAATGGATCAAAATGCTAAATTATTGTATTTATCAATATGGTAATAATTGGTCATATTTGTTATACTTACAGTAAATTATTTTTCAATAGGTATTAGGCACCTATATATTGTAGTTTGTAGAAGGTAATAACTAGGTACACAACACATGATAGATGGATAATGTGAATAGTAACAATAATTATTATATATTTATACATAGCAGATACGCTGAAATGTAATATTATATATTGTTTTACCAACAAAAATCTACTACCTACCTTCACCATTTAATTGGATTGTTATCGGAAACTAGTAAGAATGCAATAAAACAACTAAATTATTTTAAACCATTTCATCTATATTTCATGCAAAATTATTTATGCATTAGCGAATAGCCACATTTTTAAGTTGTAACTACCTATTCTAGCATTTCTAGATTTATTGATTTAACTCACCGAGTAATTTGATTTAATTGTACCTATTAGTATATTTTAGTGGTCGTATGTTATACATTCAGCTTGAGTATTTTCTATTTAAATTATAATTATAATAATTCTGTAACTAAATTATACTTACCGTATTTTAATTTTAAAATATAGTTTCCAACTAATTTTCATCATGTGCATTTTCGACTAAGACTTGAAAAAAATGTATATTTATTTAGAATAAAATTATTATTTTTACACAATACAATATTATAGAAATATTTTATTGTTTTCATTTTGTAACATCGCCGTCAAATATAATATTGATGTACCAATAATGATTTCTGTTAAAAGTTTTATACTTAAAAGACCCAAGAAACAAGAATATTTTTATATTTGGTACTGAATGTTTAACAAAGTTACAGGCGTTTTTTTTTATTAAAATAGTTATGTTTACAATTAATTATTTAAAAATAACAACATTCTCATTATTTTCTAATAAGGATGTGAAGCTGCAATTTTATTTTTATTAAGTTTGTATTTGTACTTATAAACTTTGTAATCTTTATAGTTTTTTTTTTTTTTTTAATACTATAAAATATGTTTGCAATTCGTATTTAAATCACTACTACAATAAAATATTTAACTAATGAACACATCATATTCTAAAATATTTTGATTTAATTAATACGTTAATTAAAGTGGAAAATTAACGTATTGACAGCAAAAGCAATTTCCTAGGACGTGTCATAATTTGTCCGGAGATAAGTTTTTTTTTTTATAGAGGGAGTTCAAAATGTTTTTTTATTTATGAGTAAGAAGGAAGAGAAACTTTTGATTACCTACTATTGTGATCGGCAAAAAGATAAATCTGTGTCTGTATGGTAGTTCCTACATAATATATCAAAATACAATTTATTTTCTATTTTTCAATACAGAAATAAATTATAAAATAACAACTTTTTTTAATATTACTGATTATCCTACGCTTTAACATCGGTAACCATAAATGACATCTTAATAAGTACTATATGGGAGTTATATAAAATGAAACAATTTTGATTAAAATCAAAGTGTACGTATAACCTAACCTATACTTCAGGAATTACATTGATATAATTTTTTATTGCTCTAAAATATTCATGAAGACCTTCTTTAAGTAAGAAATAGACATGAATACTGTCAAACAATAAAGATAAATTACTTTCAATATAAACAAAAAAATCTTGAAATATATTTATTTCCCAGTTTTTTTTTTTCACAAAATTTCTATAATTTGTAAGATACTGTTTATGTTAGAAAATAGAAAATTGATATTTTTTTGATTACTATTCATTTAAAATTCATATTAATATTACGTCATAATTTTTATGGTTTATACACTTTTGGGTTTAAATTGGATGCATTTAAAAGATCTTAATTATGTTTTACTTGAAGTTAAAGAAAATAAATTAAGACTATAATAAATATTTGTATAGACTATAATTAACATTAGTTTTGAACATAAAAATTATTAAGCAAGATTAAATTTGCATGACATTAAAGCCGCGTTATGACGAGAAAAGGGTTATATTTGTATGCGACAAGTATGCATATAAATTGTAAGAGCTTTTAACGTATATTACAATTTATTTGTAGCTACTCAACGCTAGTTGAGATACTAAAGATAACTAAAAAAATATGTGAAAGTGGAAGTTATACCGAAAATACACGTTTTACATTTAAAAAATTCACGCCAATACATTAAAATATACATGCATATAATACTATAAATGTTATTACATACATTTTAATATTCAATCTAGGTATTTCTATTTTAAAATATATTAAATTTACATTGTTTTTTTTTTTGTTTTTTTTTTGTTTTATAGGATGGTTATCAACAGACTACTGCAGTTGGCAATAATAACAGTTGTAGTAATGGAGGAGATTGTATGACACCGGCAATAAGACATACTGTACAACAGTTAGCTACCAATTGTGATGATAAAATCACATTATCATTGTCAACACACTCAGAAAAAAATAACGACAGTGAAAGCTACAGTATTACACGTAAATAATGAAAAATGATTAACTTTATTGCGACAAGTATTATTAGGGTTTAGAACTTTGAAAAAAGCCACCGTGACTTTAGAAAAATAAGAATGAATAATGACCTTCAAATACCTATATAAAATATTATCTGCAAAATAATGGATTTATAAATATAATATAATATTATGTTACATTATTAAATGTTCTAAAATTCGATGAGCACACATATCTTGTTATTATTTTACACTGAAAAACACTTAATAGTTTAATAATAACAAACTTTAAAAAAAAACAGTAATACATCAATTAAACAGAAACAATACAAAGCATTTAGTTATTATTAATTTGCAATAGTGTTATTCTTCGAAAATTTTCCTATTGGCATGATTCGTCGTGGTTTTTAGTTGTGATATGAAAATCATTACATTTTTTATTGTTTTTATCAGATATCAGATTTATTTGTACTCTATCAAAAGAAAATATTACGAATATAATATATTTTCTATTTTTATCGTATTATTAACAAAAGGGAACACCAAATGTTTTTTTTCATGAAAAAAAATAATCAATATATTTTATATGTTAATAAAAAATTATTTTTATTTATATTATATATTGTGTGTGTGTGTGTGTGTGTGTTACATAAGTAAAAACTAAGGCTACTGACGTTTATTGTTTTCTTTAACACCTTAAAAAAATACAACCAAGGTAGTAAAATTTCGCAAATAAAAATTTAGTACAGAAATATGAAACCCCTTTTTTAATTCATAGCTTATACCTTGTATATAAAATATTTTTGTTCATTTCCAGCTATTTATTTCAACATAAATCATACTTAATGGTGCCTAATTCAATATTCCCCGTTACATATTGTTGTTTAATATTCTAATTATTACACTATTCAATTATATCTATTTATTTGATTTTTGCAATAGATGAACCGATATTATCGTCAAGTTCAATTAAAAACCTAAATAAAAATACAACGATCAATGACAAAACTCCGTCTATAGTAGATACTGATTTTGATGATCCTATGGTAACAGCCAATGATATTAATAGTGAAAATAGTAATGACGATTGTTTGTCTCAATCGCCTTTGAACTTAACCCGTTCCCAAGGTTAGTTGAACTATATTAATATACGAATAAATATAATACATACAACTGAAATCAATCTATTATTATTACGAATAACTCATACATATCTTTTAGGCTCGTCAGAAGAAGGGGGCAACAAGAGTGAAGACGATGATGGGGAATATGATGATGATAGTGAAGAAAAAAATGGCATAGGTAGTTCCATTAATGAAAATGAAAATATTGTCAAAACAGAAGTTCCATTTCCTTGGAATATTACCACAGCTAATAATAAACAAAAGCAGCAACATCAGGATGATAAAATCACAGCACCACCGCCTCAACTTCTGTTGACTTCTGGTCAACTTACTACGGGATGCTTACAAGCAGCCCAATTACTAATACCAACAGCTCGAGGTCATAAGAATCAATATAAATTTAAAATTATAATTGTTATGAATATTTGATTAAGTAAATAACACTCCTGTTTTATTACATTACAGGTATTATGACTCAAACAATTTTGGCCATTCCCATTAACGATATGGTATCTTCTGGAATCACAACTCCTACTTCAAATCAACAACAACTTCAGCAACAGTTACTATATCACTCAACAAATAATGTTCGACAAAAAAGTATTAATCGACAACAGCTCAATCAAATTTGTCAACCATCATTATCCTTACCACTAAACCGTTATTTTCAACAACACCAAACTACAACTGATGATACGACTACTGCTAGTGGCACTCCTGAAAATTTTAATAATGACAATAATAATTGTAAGAATTATTTTTATTTAACTTTATTAAACTTAATATTTTTAGAATTATTTATGTATTAAAAAATACATTTTTTTTCCAGACGACGGTAGTATGATTAATAATGATACAGTTACAGCAGATCAGTATAACAATATTCAACGGCGAAAATGGCAGTCCCCTGACCTTAATTGCAAAAAACACAACTTTTTAACAGTAAGCTCTAAATAACATGGACCATTAATTTTTTTTTTTTTTATGCACATATATAGTACTTATACAGATTTATTAATTAAGTAATTTACACCATACAACAAAAGACAAACATACACCATTGAAGAACTTTAATAACTATACAAGTATTAGATAACTTTGTAATTAAATTGTATTTTCAATATTTGTCAACAGCCTCAACAAAAGCTATTACCTCGTACTAAGAATGAGGAAAGCAGTGATTCGATGAACGTACAACGTTCAAAAGACTCGGCTATGGTTCAAATACCAACGGGCTCAAACGGAGATTGTCGTATTTATTCAACCAATAATGCTGCTTCAATTGTTACTGCTGTGACACCAATGTCACCTACAACACACAGGCGTAATGATGGTAGTAATGGAGGAGGTGTAGAAGCAATTCAACGTCAAACTGTATGGCCAACTACAATTACAACAACCGATCAACATAATGGTGACGATGAAACAGAAAATGAAGGTAAACATAAAATTAAATTTAAATAGTTGTGTAACAATAAATCAAAATTTAATTGATAAAAAAAAAACTAAACTAATGAATTACATAGAAGGACAAGCAAATTTTACAGCTGTCTAACTAGCCTAACCTAACTGTTTAACTTACCGTGATTTTTGAGTTTTCCATAACTTTAAACTTAACTAATTATGTTTCAAATATGCTAACTAATTAATTTAACAAATTAATCTTTACAGCAATCTTCTGTAAGTAATACATAAGTTAATTAATTTAAAAAAATGTATTTTACAGTAAATAGATATGAATATATTTAATGCAATTTCGAAATTTTAAAAAACTATCCATTTATCAATGTGTTATACAATTTGGTGAATATTTTTGAATCCCTATTCGTAATTTCTAATTGATCAACTTTAATTTCTCTATAATTTATTTTCTTTTACAAAAATACAATGAATATTTGTATAAAATCATTTTATTATTTTACTAATCAAAGTAAATTATTATCCGAATTAGCTAATGCATTAACTAAGACTAATTTTAATGAAGCTTAAACAATTAATTTTTCTATTTAAATTATAAACAGTAAATTTTTAATTAAAAAATTGATTGTTTTTCAATTAACTTAACTCAAACTAGATAAGTAACTACTTTAAAAATTAAATTAATAACTCGTTCTGTTATGTCAATTATTATAGTTCTCAACCCAACCTAATTAATTTCAATTTATAAATTATAAGCTTAAAATGAAAAATAACTTCGCACTACTATCTACTTATATATAGTTATATGTAATAAAAATGTTGTGTTCAAATATATATTATTACGATGAGTACAGCAAACAAATCTAAAGTAAAAAGTAAAAACCTTTAAAAGTGTAGACCAAACATATTATCATTAAATAATATTTATATAAAATCAATAATAGTATAGGTGACTAAGCAGTGGCGCCGGTAGTAATTAAAACTAGTCTCGTGAAATATATTTCTTACAGCATGACCCGCCTATATATACCCAGTCATCAGCTTTTCTACACACACACACACACACACTCGTACATATATCATTATATTCCAATTTATTCATACGACCCATCATAATTATGAGCAATTATGTCCCCAAAACTTGAAAATGGACAACGGCGCCACTTCAAGTCTGTAACCAAGACAACAAAAGTCAAGACGGACGAACATAGCGTAATCATGAATTATAATTTATTTGATATATAAGATGGAGCTTGGAAACTAAAAATTATTTAAGATTTTAATAAAAATCAAATATAACTGTTTTTATCATCTAGGTAGTTAATACTTAATTATCTGATACTTTTATAGTTTTTCAGCTTTCAATATAATCATCACATCTTTTTTTAAATACCTAAAAATAAATTTGCTATAATATATATTATATTATATAAATACATAAACCACAAAATTAACATATAAAATTTAATTTAATATCCTATGATCGACCAATCACTTCTTTTATCTACTCAATTAGTACCTACCTAATACTACTAACACAGAAGACATAACGCACATCCTACATAGTTCATTTGATAAATAAAATCATCTTCAAGAATAATGTTTTCAGACCAACAATAGTGGCCTAACCAATTTCTACATTTCTCGTTATTCATTCATAAATTATTCCTCCATATAATATTCAACTTCTCTTAAATTGTATTTTACAATCCATTATTAGTTATCACCAATATTATTTCCTTTATTAAGTTTTCTGGCGTTCTTATTTAACAAATTGTATAATATTTTAAATTTTAAATTGTAATAATTGTTATGCTATAGCTATAGTGTTGATAATTGTTATTAATTAAAGAAAAATACATTATGCACAATATATCAGGTCAATAAAAAAACAATAGTCAATTATTATTATTTATTTTTGAATAAATACAAAATATCTGACGTTGAAATGATTTTTCAGGACTTGACAGAAACTATAATTAATATTGAATGAATTACAAAATTTTTATTTAGAGTAAAAATGGCATAATACTATATATAAAAAATAAATAAGAAAAAAACTACATACATACTTACAAATTACAATAGATTTTCAATATGTCAAAACGTTGCAGCTACATTGTTTTAAAATAGTACACGTTTTTCTAATAGGCGCAATAATGCTACAAAAATAATTGATGATTGGACTCTACTATAGTATACTGGTGACATAGACTCTATAGTAGATACTATTATTTTTAGAATACAATAAGCAATTAAAATCCTTTTTGTTAAGTACCAATTTTGTAACCTTATCACTGTCCTTCGGAATTTTCTAAGAAACTTAAATTTATTACTGTTAATATGGTAAAACCCAAAAGCGCAAATTGTCGATTTTTTTTCGATAGACTAAAAGCACAAATTCATTTTGCACTTTTGTCCCTTAGTAGTGGGATAAAAGCGCAAAAATAAATACTTTACCCGTTATACTATAAGTTTCATTTTAAAACTATTAATTATTTAATTTAATTTTTAATTTTAATTAAATATATAGTATTTTTATAATTCAAAAATACATCAACAGTGATCAAGTTCAGTTGAAGCTTAGTATTATCGTATTGTATAATCATAGCAAATTATGGTGAAAGTTGATTATCATTTAAGATAACTATATAATATATACAGTATAAACTTTTATCTAATACTTATAAATACACTTTATTTTTGCAAAATTTATTTGCACTTATAGAATATTATTTTTGCGCTTTTGAATTGCGTTTGGATCATATTTTACGCTTATGAACTACAGCCCTGTTAACAAACTATTTAAAACTTAAAGAATTCTATAAAAACTATACACAGTGATTTATTTAACATAAAACACTCATTATTTAAAAAAAAAACACCAACTAAATTTATATTTTAAATAAATTTAAGTCATTGAAAACAACATTTTTAGAGAAAAAAAGTTTTTTTACTATTTTTAACACTATAATTTTTTAAGTTTTATTTTCTTGAATTACAGCACATTTTTAATTTTATGAAATTTTATAAACCTAAGCAAAATATTATTTGGAATACTTTGTAAACTATTCGTCCAAAATTGAATTTTATACAATAAAGTATCCAAAAAAAAAAAATTCTACTTTGAAATAAAGAGTGCATGTTTTTATTCAAAAAAGCGAAAAAAAAATATTTTTAGACAAATTTTATTTTTTAACAACTTAAAATATTGCGATCAGAAGTATTCAAAAATATTAATATTTTCTAAGTGCTTAATGAATGTTTTACTTAAAATTAATCACTTAGTGTTTAGATATACGTAGATATAGATTATTAATACCTGCATACAATACTAGAATCACGATAGCTACACTAAAATTGTACAAACTTATTAAAAGTATTTTCAAAAACAAAACAATCATATCCATAATTTTATAAATTATAACTAATGAATTATTATTATTATTATTTAAATACTTATTTTCATAATCGTATATCATACGATATTTTCAGAAGACAAACAGCAGCCACATCAACCTTCTCATGTAATATCTCCTGCGCCTCCAACGTCTTCTACCAACATAAATACTTTAAAGTCATTAGCACCTCCATCTTCACAACTCAATTGCCACATAAAACCATCTAAGGACGAGGACTCGACCTCAGCAGCTGCTGCGGCAGCGGCTGCATATAATCAGCAAAACGCTATTTGCACGTAAATAAAAATTAATACCTATCATAAAATCTCATCCACGCAGATATTATTTTTTGCATTAAGAAAGTTAAACGTTTTTTTCACTCTTAACTTTTCAGAGCACTCGCCACACACATGCTACGTGCTTCGCAACTCGCCGCTGCACAACAACCAATGTAAGAAATGTTAATTATCCATCGTTTATAATAATATAAATTTATCTTTTACGTAAAATAATTTATAAATATGATTATAGTAACTATATAGTCTGTTATCAGACTATAAGAGTTTTATTAACTATAACTATTTTATGTAACTTATTTTACTAAAACTTTTGGCATTCAAATAAGTATGGATGTTTATTTAGCTATAAAAATTACCCAAATTTATCGTACTAAATATTATATATGTGTGTATTTTATTTAGATTTGAGAATATGGAAAGTGGCAACTCTGCTAAAAAACCAAGTAATGTGTACAATAACAATAATAATAATAACATCAAAACAAATAACATGATGGGTGTAGTGAACCCAGCTGTATTGGAAAAATGGATGATGGAGGAGAGGTAAGCGATATAATTATTATTAAATGTCTATATTTATTAGTAATATTAATAGAATTAAAAGAAAAGAGGAAAATAATCAAATTAAAGCAATAAAACTCTTTATAAATGTCAATCAAATAAAATTTAACTTTGTACTATAATTAACCGTGATGAGAAAATAAAACGGTATCCTCTTAATAGAGTTTGAAAATAGCGAATAGTTTAAAAAAAATACTTAGTAAACTATTAAATTTACTAGATTTGAGGTTAACAATAGATATGAATGCTTTGCAGGAACGCCTTATAGATAAACCTTCGATTAAAAAAATAGAGCTAAAAATATAAATGAGTTAGTAAAGTTGGTTATGCATAAACAAACGCACTAAAGATTTCCCAGTGAAGCAGACGTTCTATTGCTTACTTGCTTAATATTTCACTGAAATTCATAGGTATTTAGATTATATTATCATTATGAAACTGGAGAGTCTTATGATGTTTACGAAAATATAATTAAACAAATATATTATTCAGATAGTGGCATAGAACGAGAACATTGGAAAATACAAAAGTATACATTTAAAAAAGTAAAATATTTTAAGTAGCTTAGAGAGATGTTAAATAAAAGAGTAAACAGGAGATCAAATAAAGATCACTTCGGATAACTGTGTGTACTGTCGCTATTTAAATCAAAAATTTTATTAAGAAGAAAAAAGATAATACCTAGTCTATAAAATCTTCGTTAACAAGTTTCATTTTTATGCATATGAAACGTTAGCAACCACACTGTTCGAGGAAAAATAAACCGGGATTATTCGGAAAAATCTTGAGAAAATTAAACCTATAGAACAAAAAATAAATGAAAAGGGAGATTTTTAAACTAGAACTATTAGTTAGTAGGTATCACGATAAATAGGATATCAAGATGGATCGGGCACGTGTAAAAATCGAATACTGAAAAAAAAAAACAGAATTTAATATAGATGCGACCAAGAGGCAGATCAGAACAGTAACACGGGAAAAAATAATACTTGAAGAGTTGTGATTTTCATAGCTGTAGACCTCAGGCGTCTAATATGCCAGAAGCAAAAAAATATATATTTACTTACGTATATAGAAATGTAGTGTTGAAAATAATTTTTAGAACAAATACAAATTTCCAGTTCAAAATCAATCATTTGTTTACGTTGCATTTATTGATCCTCTTCTTTTTTTTTTAGGTATTATTATAATAATAACAATAACAACAACAAAAACATTACTGGAGGCCACTCACATCACCACCAGAGGTATAACGCAGCCGCAGCGGCGGCTGCTGCAGCAGCAGCTGTCGAACTATTAAGTGGTGGCGTTTCCGCATCATCAAGTGGTGGCGGTGGTGACAGCTTAGCGTCATGCAAAAAACGAAAAAGACGTACTTCGTTTACACCACACGCCCTAGAACTGTTAAATGGTCATTTTGAACGCAATACACATCCGTCAGGTAAAAAAAAAAAAATAATAATAATAATAATAGTAGGTATAACAAGTACCTACCCTTTCATGACGTAACCGTTATTTTCAGTTCTTAATAATTACTAATCGGATAGAATAACTAACCTACTTATTAATACCATTCAAAGTTTGAATATAAACGTCCACTGTTGACATTAGGTTGGTTCCCGGAATTGATATTTAAAACTTTAATCCAAAAAATAACACTAAATATCTATTATGTTGTCTCTGCTAAGAATGATTATGCATAGGTATGTTTTAAATAAAACCATTATTAAAATATAAAATCCATCGCATGGATATACTTAAAAAAAAACACTGCGATAATTACCTTATCAAACAAAAAATAATAATAACAATACATTTTACTTATATTGAGTATATTTAGGTAGGTACCTACTATAATAGCGAACAAGTGCGTGTTATGATTTATGACTTTAATAATTAGATAAACTTACCGAAAAAGTGAATATAGGTAACACATAGACACAAATAATAGGAACTTACCGAATTTAAACCTAATGCCCAAAATGACGAGTATAATTTGTTGTCACAAAAATCGTGTTGAAAATAAATGTACGTAAGTTTAATTAAAATGTAAGTAGATATACGACTGATTGTCGCATATACCTACTAATTGAAATTATTTAAAGACGCCAATAAAGTGTGATACATAATATTATGATACACTCGATTAAATTAGAAACACATTTATTTGAGTTCGTAGAACATTAATTAGTTTTTTTATTGATATATAAATACCTTTTCGTTTTCAGGATCTGAAATCACTGGACTGGCACACAGATTGGGCTACGAACGCGAAGTGATACGCATTTGGTTTTGCAATAAACGTCAGGCGTTGAAGAACACTGTTCGCACTATAAACGGCAGCGGTCCGGCCCATATGACTAGCACTAAATCTCATAATAATACAAGTGGATACTAAAACACCGTATTACTTATAAAATTTACGTTGCATACAGTTAATGAAACATACCCAGTTTTTCCGACAATCACGATGTAGTAATTGGTCATGTCCATATCTGTGTTGCCTTATTTTTACACAAAATATCTACCGGTAGAATTATTTTCTTTATTCATTCACAACACCCGCTGATTCATAAGAATAACTAGTGGTTAAAAGACCAAATATGGGAGAACACACGTTTCAAAAGATAACATGTTTAACTTTTTTATAATTTTTTTAGTTGTTTTAAGTATTTAATGATATTAATAATGAATAGTTAATAGATTTTAATTTAAAACATTTAATATTGTTTGGATTTTCATTAGTAGCTTAAAAAAAAACTATAACTATATCCCGAGGTTATATAGGTTTTATTATTTTGTGAAATAATAATAGTAAATAGTACGTATCTAATATGTGTAAATACTGTTAGTGTACAATATGGTTAAGTTTAAGAACTAATTTATATTTTGGTGACAACAATATAAGCTTAAATTAAGTTATAAGTGTATTCGCCCAATTATAAATTGTATAATGCATGTCGAAGTATGAAATTAACTTTTATATCAAGAGTCAAAGTTACCAATTGATAGACTGTAACCAAACACTAGGTCTTTTACAAATAGCAGAAAAAAAGGCATTTCGAAAATTACATAATATGGTATAACAACCAATAATAAACAAAATTTCTAATAAATTATGTGTCAAAAATTTCATTTTTTTACTGCCAAAAAATGTATCCAAAATTTTATTCGGCTTATAAATATTAATAATAAAATTACTTTAATGTATATCTAGTCATAGGCACAACTTCAGTACCATAGCTTGGAAACTAGACATTATTACAGGATGCTACATTTACATATTTTAAGAGGAGACCGTAGAAGCACTCCTTAGAGCTAGCTCTTCCATACTTCCTATTGCATTAATATATCTAGTTTTAATAATTTTAAAAATTAAATGTTATTTGTCTTAATATACTTTAAGGAATATACTGAAAGAAGTATTTGGTCTCTTAACCATTGAAAAATAACTTACAGTTAATACCGATTTATTTTCTCATAATATGCCTTATAACATATGTTTAATTTATATTTGTATATTATTTTTACTATATATAAGCAGTATTGTAAATTTACACATGTCAGTCTATGTGTGTATGTGTATGTGTGTGTTTGTAAATGTATATGTGTGTATACTTACCCTATTTAAATGAGATAGTCTTTTTGTATTTTAACCGCCTCGATTATTTCATCTTGTGTCAAGACTGTTAAGTATTAAAATCGAAATAATTTATGTAAATGAGGTAGTAAATTAATATTAATTAATAATAAAAAAAAAAATTATAAATGTTCTTTAGTTGTTCTTCTTTATTTATCATTAAAACATGTATTTTTCTAAGTTAGTGTTATGATAAGTAATTCGATGTGTTATATCATCATTAAATAAACTATAAGCTAACCATATTGTTTATGATATTTTTTTTCTTAATACAAACATAAACATGATTACATAATAAGTCAAATTTAAATATTTATACAAATTGGTGCTTTTATAAACTCTGAATATATTATTAACCTTATAATATAGAAAAGAATAAGAAAAATATAAATGACTAGAATATAAACAACAGAATACACATTTTTTATAGTATTTAGTACAATCATTCTGACTCTTAAGAAATGGTTGATATAATTTTCAAATGTAGCATAATTAAATCTTTGCCCATAAAAAAAAAAAATACATAAAACTTACAAAATTTTTACCGCTAAATGTTTTGCAAACATTGTAAACATTCTTTCAGTAATAGCTAAAATATATAATCAGATATATTCAAAAAAATTGAGCTTTTAGTTTTTGAATAAATTTAATAGGATCATCAAATATCAGGATATATCTATCTAAACATATCTAAACATATGTTAACTATTCATTTTAAAAACAGGAATTTTTTTTAACAAATTAAAATATATAATGACTAAACTACACAAAACATAGTACACAAATATAAAGAGAGAGAAATATTCAACGCAAATAATGGTTTTAAGTAAATATTTAAGTAGACAAGTACATTTTTGTTTAGTAAATAGTAGATTAATGCTAATCAAAAAAATTGATATTTTTTTACGCTATCAGCTGCTACATCAGTTACCAATAAATAATATGATGAGCATTGTTGACTATCATCAGTAACAGAATCTTGAACTTCGGAAAATGCTACCATACCAGCTGGACGACGTAATTTGCAACCATTGGAATCAACAGTGTTAACTAGTTTTTCAGTTTCCATATCAATCAAGTCAATTACGTATGAATTATAGTGGCGTCTAGTAGCCAGTATAAAATTATTACAAGTAGCCAATGAGCTATATGAATGTGTGGCTAATAAAAATTGAAAACATTCATTACTTAGAAGACCATTTAGTGAAAAAATTATTTATACTTGTTATAACCAACTACTTACATTTATCTGTTGTCATAACTGTGATTGACCGCTCATAAGTACCTTTGCATGAATATATATCTAAACAGCGACATCCAGTTGTAGTTATACTAGAAATAACAATAATTTGTGAATTTGGCCCAATTGCCATAAATGTACCAACACATTCAGCAGATTTTCCATTACTTTTCTTATTATTTATCTGTAAATCAATAAATTAAAAGTGATGGGTAAATTTTTATTCATAAAAATGTCCAGGAACTCAAAAAATACAAAATTCTGCATTAAAAAATGAAATATTTTAGGTATCAGTAAGGTGAGAAAATAAGAATTAAAAATATATTTAAAACTAATTTTTGTTTTCAAACGATTAGTGCATTAAATTAAAAACAAAATTATTTCATTAAGTGCTTTGTGTTTTATCAGATTTTTTAAGTTCTTACTGTAAATAGATGTTGCCCTGTTGTCCCTTTGAATGCATGTATGTTACATGAAGAATCACCTATTAATACATGATCATAAATTCTGTCCACAACAACACACATAGGTTCGATCATACTTGAATGTGTCCACGACTTAACTGTTTCACCGTCTAGATTCATTCTAAAAAAAAAAAAAACCGTTTTTATTACCATTAGTAAATAAATAAAAATATTTTGAAATTATTACTGAGTCACTATGTTTGTACGCCAATTTACTGTAACTAATGTTTCATCACTCAATAAACCGATACCAGTTGAAGAACGACCACGCATAGCTTCAATGTTTTGTATATCACAAATATAATTTAAATGAGTGTCAAGTACTCTTATGCGACAATTTCCTGTGTCTAAAACATACACCTAGAAATAATAAATACAACATTTTAATGGGACACATATTACCTTTTATATTATGTTTAAAATAATTGTTTGACCTCTTACCCTAGTGGAGTGGTGATCTATAGCAATTGCAACAGGCTGTTGCATTGAAGGTCCTTTACTATATTGGCATGTAGGGTCAATGTTTTTTGTTACAGAGAAGTCAATATGTCCAGTATTACCATTATATGCAACTGGTCTACCTAGCACATAAATATGAAGTCGATATCTAAAACACATAAAAACAGAAGTCAAATTCATTTTTTTTTTCTAATTAATTGCATTTTATATACCTGCCACAAATAGATAAACGTAGACGAATTGTGTATTGACCATTTTTATGATCAATAATACGTACTCCATCATCACTAGTATTGTTTTCATATTTATGTTCTAAATTATTTGCAGTCCTTTCTTGTTGTATGTCATCTAAAGGTCCAATTAATTTCAAAGTTACTGGATCACCGCCTAAATTACGTCGTTTCCCATCATAGTCAAAAGCTGTTAAAGTAGCAACTCGTGAATCTACTAAACGAGGTATCAATAAATTTTCTTCTGGAAATACAAAGATATTTTAAACTTATAGAAAATTACTTATTAAATTGTTACTAGATTTAAATAAAATTACCATTTGATTCAGCAACATCCAGTGTACAATTACCAGGACAAGTAGTTGTAGTGCGTACCCGACCCATTTGTCCTATTGCATTATTTATAACATTTTTTATTGCTGTTAGATCTAAGTCCAAGGCAATAAAAGCATTTTCACGAGGTTCTTCAATACCGCCAGTAGGTTTTTGCAAACGATCGTTTAAAATTTGAATTCGTTGATTTATAGACTGTACATCCAATAATTGATGGACATTGCCACATTCATCCATAACCTAGTCATCATAAATTTAATAATGTAATAAACACATACCTAATGATTAACAGACAAAAACTATGTAATATTTACATACTATATATGTTGATTTTATACATACTTTAGTTTTTTCAGTATCAATAGCTGAGAGTTGTTGACTCAAAATTCTATTTTTAGTATCAAAAGCCTTATGTACTTGTTGCTGCAATTGTTGTTTACGGACTTCTATTATGTTCATCAAATCATTAAATGTATCGTCCAAAGTAGATAAACATTCATTACGTGCTGTATCTAAGCGTTCTAATTCAGCACATACTCCATCTCTCGAATAGTTCAACTATAATTTAAATGAATTACAATTCATTTAAATTAATATGTATGCTATCAACATTCGTATAACACTTAAATATCAGCGACACATACTTTTGTTACACATTCATTAGCTTTATACAACATTATTTCAGATGTACGTTTCATAGCTACAGACACTGGTATGATTGTATGAACTAATGGTGGAGATTTAGATGAAATAAGGGTACTTTCACTAATAGCTGTTTCATGTTTAGTACAAATTGAGCAGAATACTTGATCACATGTTTCACAATAAAGCAATTCCTATTGAATATGGAAAAATAAAATACAAATAATTATTAATATTTCTTATTTTGATATTATTAGGTATAAGTAAAGAAATCTAAAACTAGATGCATCTACATTATTGTTTAAAGCATAAGTTTAAGCATAATAATATGCATATAATTTGAAATATTAACATTTATCATCACACTAAATTTAAATATTAAGTTTTATTTTGCTTATTTGGATGTGTATAACATATTAATTCATAAATGCATAATATTATATAAAAAACATATTTAAAGAGAAATAAATCAAAAATTATAAAAATAATAATAATTTTTAAGATTTTTATACTATAAATGAAATTTTCAAAGAATCTCATTCAGGATATGATCATGTAAGGAGTTTTTTCAAATTACTCCATGAAATAAAAAATTGTTATTCATATTTTTATTAATTTACTCAATCATTACATTAATTACACTGAACTTATTGAATATTTTTTAAAATGTGTTTATTCAATTCTAGAAATAAATTATTATTCTATCATTTAACTACCTCTAGTAAACATATAAAATGTACTCTCATGCAAATAAACATACTGATAGGTAATTCTAAATGTAATATTAATTTATTTCATACATTACTTAGTAAATAAGCAGATTCCTTGCATTGAATATTATTTATTTTATTAAAGTAAGTTCATTCATGTGTATTTTATCATATTTTATTCTTATATGTATTATTATACCTATGTATTATTTGTTGTTTTATTAATTTAAACTAACTTTGATTCAAATTATTATGATTGCCTACATTTTAATCAACATTTTTACCACCATGTACTTATTGTATAATAAAATATTTATTTCCATAAGATTATTATTATTATATCAAGGATAAATGTAATACATACAACTGCAAAATGTGTCACTTTTTATTTTTGTATATTCGTGTTAAACATTTTTTAAATAATTATAATACAGGCTTAAGTTAAAATTTGTAATACCTGATTAATATGTGAAGATAATACACCATCACCACCACAACAAGTTGGTATTAAAGTGCGTCGTCTATGAGTTGATATCAAATCGAGTAGTTGATTGACTAGAAATGATGGAGGAAGAGCTGTGACTCCACCATTATGAGGAACAACTATAAGTTCTCTGCATATTGGACACCTAAAGGTTTGCCGCTGTTGTTGAGATTCCTGTTGTTGAGATGATTGTATAGTACTACTACTGTTTCGACCATTGTTCAAGTCTTGTGCTGTACGTCGATTGTGAGCTGCTGCTGCAATCTTTGTCAAACAGTGAAGACACACAGTATGTGAGCACGGTAAAAGCTTTGGAGCACGTTCAACACCATCATAAACGCCTATATGAACAAGAAAATATTAAAAAAATTGTTATTTTACAACACACACACCTCCACGAACAAAACAACAAAGTATAAAAATGCTCACACAGACAAGTGGCGCACGTCAAAAAAGCGTCGTTGAAATCGTCATAATCTATTGACACCGTTTCAACTAATTGTGTTGAGTTGTTGCTGGTGCTGCTACTGCTGTTGTTGCTGTTGACAGTGACCATTTTTTCAAAGTCCACACGGCCCGCAGAATCAGTGCATTGTTACGAAAATGAATTATTGCGCGTACCGAAATTAATCGATTTGCAAGCTTTATAGAAATAATAAATCAACCGCCGCCGCGGCGGCTGCTGCTTTTCGTGAATTAACATAAGAAATCAAACTGAGAGAGGCTCTGAACGACCGTTCCCCGGAGATTAGCAGGCAGCGACGGAAATGTGTGTGCCGTTCAGTCTTTGTTTCTTTATCGTAAACAATGAATTATAAAATTATAAACACTGAACGGTGAAAAAAAAAAAAAATTAAAAAAAAAAGTTAAAAAAAAAAAACGTTATCACCATCAATCGATTGTTATTGTTACAGCGGCATCAAGCTGCCATTGTGTTTCCGTGATAACACATTTTACGTCTTCACTATTATAATCTTCTATAGTAATAATAATACTATTATACGCACGACTATACAACTGGTAGGCAAGCGGTACGCGGGGAGACTCAGGTACCACAGAGCCGCGATATCCCGCTGGTGGTATTCGATTGGAAGGGAAACGAGCGGTCGACGACGGACACGGTCGACGCGGAGACGATTATAAAACGTAAAGCTTGGTAACGACTAACGACGATTCGTACTAACGACTGGCTCACGAATAACGTCCGACCGTCGTAAAAATCGATCGTTTCGGGGTTTGTTGACCGGGCACCGCGTCGTGACTATGGTTTGGGTTCACGAAACGACGAAACGGACTATTGACTTATTAACGTCTAATGATAATAACGACGATTGCGGACGTACATTAACGTGCACGTCGGATTCGTTGGACCGGACGGTTTGCTTTTCCCCGTCGAAACGTCGATGCTCTACGCCGTGACAGGCAAATTTAATGTATAAATAATATGTTTATTTTTTCAAATAGCAAAACCTGTTATCGTCTCGGTCGGACGGCTTGCAAGACCCTACGTCGACATTAATCGATAATAATTATCGCTTTTCGAGTGACTGTATTACAGCAGTACGCGTAACGTAACGTATGAAAATGTTATAATATTATTATTTATTATAGATGGGTAGGTAAACGTCTTACGAAAGTACGAAACGCACAAATAATACTATACAGAGCTCGCGCACGCGCGTCCGTTCACAGCAGTGGTGCAATGATGCAGAGCGTCGAGAAAGTTTCGTCCGAACACGCACACGTCGTTTGAAACGCTCCAAAACTTTCCGAGCACAAGTGGTGGGCCCAACACACCGCCGTCGGTAATGCGCACATGCCAGTGCAGTGGCCATAATCCCTACCTATGTATGACTATAATATTATTATTATGGTGCACTGAACTATTAATATATAATAATAATATAACGCACCACACGCGTCGTGTGTACACACAAAAAAAAAAAAAGGCATCTGTGCGATACGAATTAAAAGATAGTGTAATAATAGGTTTATTTTTATTTTAAATTTCCTTTTTTTTTTTTTTTTTGTGAACCAGACAGTTCTTGAGGTGTGGTCTGATGCCGTCCCGTTGATCGAGTCGATTAACGACAGATTTTCTTGTACAGCACTTGTTATTTATAGCATAGATTAAATATACATAAGTATATTTAAATATTTAATCCGTGTTTATAGGTAATAAGTACTAGGCTCTCTAGCAAGTACGTTTTAGGGCTTTGGCTGGGCAACGTGTGGTGTGTACTGAATATTGATACAAGGAGCTTTATTTTAACTGAAAATTATTAAATACAAATGGAAAATATTTTATTATAATATGCAGATACGTTTTTTAATCGATTAACATTTAATACAAATTAAATATACCTAAAAATAATTAAAACAAATATGAAGAAAACAATATTTCTTGGAATAATATTTTTGATTTCCTTTTTTATATTCGAAAAACCTTTTACAAATATACAAAGTTTTAATGTATAAGTAGTAAGTACTCTATAAATTAATAAAATTACTCAAAACCACTAAGAAAAATACTCGAAAATGCAAAATGAAAGTTTCATCTCTGAAATAAATGTTACATGAAACTAAAAATGCATTGTACTCATAGAGCATCCAAAAAATAATGAACTTATAACTTTTTATTAAAATTTGGGCCTTATTAATACAATTATACGTATAACTATATGTTATAAAAAAAAAAATCCACAAGGTTATAAAGCTTGAAAATTATAAACGAGATTTCTTGTAAATAGTTCATACAGAAACTAATAAATCTAAAAAAATATACTCGCCCAATTTTTTTTATAAATATATTTAAATTTAAAATTAAGACGAAATTACGTAGGTGTTTAAACGATAAACAACGATATATTAATAACAATAATTCAAAAACATTATTCAAGGAGATTTAAAACTTTTACTTATTTATGAATTTTACTATACCCAATTAAATTTTCATTATAGTATAATATTATATAGATTAATTTAAGATAATATAGCATATTATTTATTTATACCAGGGTTCCACCAACCAGACGAAATTTCTAGAAATATATTTCCATCGCGAATAAAAATTAATTTTAACCATTATTGGTCGATCGCGTAATAAATAATTTTTAATCAAATAATAAAATTGTTATATTATTATATATATTATTGAATTTACCATTATCGGTCAATTGCGAATGACTTGCGTAAGTAGGAATAGCTTAAATATAATAAACTAGTTTATTAAAGTTTATTTTTATCAGTTATAAGTTATAACACAACTGTCAACGACTGTTGGCCTTTTTTTTTTTTTGCTCATCAAACAAATCTTCTGGACTTAAGAGTTTAGACCCTAGATGTCGATCATCAGAAACTATTGACATTTCGCGAATGTAGCAGCTCATTTAATAGAAAAGGTTGGAAACCTTTGATTTATACCATGAACCTATTTATACAACGATACTGTTTTGTTTATTAAATTAATAACAATATAAATATGATTTATATTATTATTATAATAATTAAATATTAATAACTAATAAGTAATATAAATTATAATACATACAATATTTTCGGAAAAATTTTAATTAAACTTCCATTATAGTTATAGTAAAATGTATTACTTCAATAGCAATATTCAAAAAGATAAATTGGATACCGTTCTGGTGTCCACTTTCCAGTAAGTCATAGGAAAAATGTGTTCAAACTTGAATTCAATAATAAATGATTTGATGCGCCTAATATGGTTTACAATAACAGCAGGAATGTACGATTTAGGTATAAATTATAAGTACGTTAGAATATGAAAAACGATTCTGAGCGGAAACAGTCTATAGGTATGAACCTATAACTTGGTATATCTTATATGTTATATTTTTTGATACTGCTATTAAAGTAATTTATTTTACTATTTTTAATACATTAGGACGTAGGTTAAATACATTTTTATCGAAAAGTATTAGAAAATGATATTGTGTATACAAAATATTTAGGTAAATAGGTAATAACTTTAAGTAATTGGTAATTACGGTAATCTAATATACGTTAAAGTTTAATGTCTAAATAATATGTTACAAAAATGTTTTTAAATTATAACAAAGTAATTAATATTGTTATTAATGGTTTAATGGTTTAAATATACATTCTCGTCCAAATTGTACATACCTACTGGCTACTTATATATATTTTAGATTGTTTTGGTTTCAATATGAACTACTTTTACTTATGAGTTAGTTTTTATTAAATTTTCAAGCCTTAACTATAAAAATAGTAAATCTTAAACATTTCAAACAGAAGAATGATTTATAAATATTCGTGATTTTGGCGAATTTTGTCAAAATTTGAACTTAAAATGCTTATTAAAATAAATTGTGCTTATAGATATTTTAAATACTTTCATATATTCATAAAAACAATTTATGTGGACTCATGTATTAAATTTCTAAGCTTTTGACATAAATATAAAAATAAAAATTTTAAATACACATCTACAGATATTTATTTTTGAATTATAAAAAGTATCAAAAACCGTTTGATGAAAGTAATTAATTTAGGGTGAATGTGCAATGTTGTTGAAAATTTAACTTTAAAGATAAATAAAAATTAATTTGACTTTCTATAATAGAAATTCTTTTTAATATGGATTGAAAAACTTATAAAGAACCTCGATTTAGTTTTAAAATCTTAACTATAAAAATAAAAGCTTTCATAAATATATTTTGATGATAAAAGAATTTAGGAAATTTTCTATATTTTACGAATTTCGTTGAAATTCAAAGTTTAAACGCTTATAAAAAATTAGTGTGATTTTACATTTTTGATATTTTGTAATTGATAAATGACAAATTTATGAAGAACCTTAAACAAAATTGTCAAATATATTTACTCAGAGAATAACTTTTAATTGACATCTATAAAATAAAAAAAAATCCAAGTCTATAATTATTTGTAGCTCGAAAAAAGCTAGAATATTTTGAAAATTATATCCACGTAATAGTAAAACCAATGTATTCATAGCCCATAGGGGCGCTCATAATCTAAAAACATACCTATTGTAAAACTATATTGGTATTTAATAGTAGGTTTAGGCCGACAACGTATCTCCGCTAAAAATCATTTAAATTTATGAAAGTAAAATATTTAAAAACATTAGGTTTTAAAACAGTGAAAATATGTACTTTGATAAATAATCAATGTACCTATGTAGGTACATTTTTTTTTTCGAACAGAAATTTACAATCCTATAACCTTATATATTTATACATAAGAAGTAATTAGTGTACCTAAGTACATTATACCTACTTGTTTATTAATATTAACTAACTTTGGTGCAATAAGTTCTGAGGTATCTAGGTACTGACTATTATAATTAAATTTTAATAACTAATAATATGATCTTGATTTTTAATAGCAATTACCAGTATAAACTAATATTATATTTTATTATAATATAAATATCACATTAGAGTGCCTAATACAGACTACAGTAATACCTATATTTAAATATATTGATATATCATAATGCGAAAATAATGTATACTATGTAAGATATATAAAATATATTCTACAATCGTGATTGATGATATACAATAAATTATAATAATTAATGCAATATTGCAAAATGTCATATTATTATGATTACGTAATATAGTAACCATAATTTCTTTAATTCGATCTAATATATTATACTATTTTAAACTCTATAATGTAGATTACAGACAGCAACAAGAATTTATACATTGTTGATGAATGACGTTTATCGACCCATATAAATAAATATTGTTTTTAGATAACAGACAATAAGAATGTATCTAAGACACATACCTATATAGTCAAAATCCCAACTACCAACTCTAACTAGGTATTCTAAATTTTAACGCAGAACACAAACGTACAGAGTACAGTACTTATCGTAGTTAATAGAAATAAAAAAAGGGAAGAGTATTGAAAGTAGATAATTACTCTTTTGTACAGTCGTAAATGTCGAGTTTACCCGTCTAATCATTAAGTAAATCACTGTAATGTTTGTGTTAAATTTAAATTCAATGACAACTTAATGTAAACGAAAACAAAACTTAATCAAAAACAGTTAAAATTACGAATTAATTTGTATTATATTTTTAAATTTTTATTAAAGTATTAAATAATTTATTAATAACTATTATAGTCATACGATAAGTTAAATTAAATTATGCAAAAAACATTACATTTAAGTATTATAATACATATATATTTGTATAATATATTATTATTATTATAAACTGTTGAGTCAAATGAATCAATACTGACTTACCAGTTACCGTATTACCGTATACCGTGGTAAAAAATAAAAATAGACAATAACATTAAAAAAATCTTAATTATGTGAAAATGTGATTATATTTATAAAATATAATGATGTACATAAACCTACAGGTACAACTTTCAAATCCCCAAAAATAATATTTTTGAGTTATAGGTACTAAAATTATTTAAATTGTTTTACTTTGTTTAAATATCTAATATCATTTAAATTTGAACTTATAATGTCTAAAAAAATTGATTCTTATATATTTTTATTTAATACTTTGATTTCAATATGAGTTTCTTTTAAGCAACCTTGTGTTAAATGTTTCAATCTTAAGTTACCTATAATATTTCAAATTTTTTACATTTTTACTACCTACGAGACAACTTGCAAATTTTCATAACTTTAACGAATTTTGTGAAAATTTGAACTTCAATATTCATAAAAAAAAATCATATTGATTGATAAATCTTTAATATTTTTAAAATATTTTTGAATAAATTTAATAAAAATTTAAAAGGAACCTTATACTTATTAAATTTTTAAGCTTTTTACCCGAGCAAAAAATGAAACTATTTTTATGTTATATTTATTTTTATTTTTAAAATCTTTTTTATTGACACATAAAAATCGAAATTTCAAATTCTATAAATAGTTCATAAAGATTTGAGATAAATTATAGCATACATAGAATCTGCTAACACATTTAAAGAAAATTTCAAGAATCTACGAGTATGTTTATTAGTTTTTTATTGCGACAAAATACATTTTTTTAAATTTTTTTTACAGTTTCCTGTTATATATAGGTATAATCAATAATATTACATTAGCCAATAAACACTAAATTGTAAGTTTTTAGTAAAATAATTACCCTATTTAACTTTATTCATAAATACCTTCAAACCATAAGTATTAACTAAGGCACAAATTTTGTAGTAAAAATAGTAAAATAATTCATTGCAATAGTATTTATTTAATATCAGCTTGAACAATACAAAGAAAACTATGTTTATCAACAATTCAACAATTAATTATCATTTGGAAACAAAAATTTAAGTTGTCTTTTTCAACTCAAAAGTTATAACTTTAAAAATCATTGAAAAAAATTTAATTATTCCTTTAACATTAATTGATACTACCCAAATATTAATATAAAAATATATGTTTTAAGTGATACTGTCATGCCAATCACTATGTATAAATAGTGTAAATAGGTACAATACCTAATTTAAATGTGTGGTGCTATGGCGAATAATAGTAATCCATAATATTTAGGCTTAAGATTTTTGAACGAAGTATATCTATAGTAAATGAATATATTTATACGTTACAAATTTTATCATCACAAGTAAGATTCAAAAACGAGTAATGTTTACATATTACCCAGGTAATTTACAAAATAAGAATAACAAAATGGAGATAGTAGATAAGTAATAAAGTAACGTAATTTAAAAAAGTAAATGTTATGATATTTTTATGAAAATGTTGTTACATCAATGAAAATATACACTTAGAAGAATAAGAAAAAAATTTAATTTACTTCATTACTATTATATTAGTATGAAACAAATTTAAAATTTATAAAAAACCTGAATTTTAACAAAACTAATTATTACATTTTAATTTTCAATATCTATCTTAAGAAGATGTTACGCTTGCATGTGTTATCAGTATCTTATAAAAGTAAAAGGTAAATTTGCTTTTAGTAGAATCAATTTTGTGATTTTAACTAATATAAGAATGAATTTATTCATTATTAAACTTTAAGGTAAGAATATAATCTAAGCTTTTATTGATATATATCATTTTAAAGTAAGTTTTAGGTATTTACAATATTACAACTTTAAAACACTCATAATTCAATTTAAAATTATAATATTAATAAACCTCTTTTAGATTCTTAAAATTATATTCTTACCTTTTAGTTTGATAATAAGTAAATTTACTTTAATATTATAATAAACAACATAAAATTAATTCTGCTGAATGCAGATTTATTATATTGTACATGGGCGCCCATAGGTAATATTTAGGGGGGGTCAAAATAAAAAAAATTTCGAATGTAAGATAATAAAGATTTAATGTTATCTTTCACATATAAATGTATACACTATACATGCATGTTATATTTTTATTTGTATATATATAGTGTATTAATAATAATTGCCATACGAATAAATAAATAAATATATAATAATTGCCATATGAATAAATTAATTAATAAATAATATAATTAAGTATATTATTCGGTATCAGTAAGTAAGAACTGCAAATTTCTACGTTTTATTCCAAACATATTAATGACATCCTGAATGAAAGTATCCTTGTTTGCGTTAGATTAAAATATTTGTAGTACCTATATTGTGATCTTTATGGGTTTACCACAAATTGTTTGCGATAAATAATTTTACGTATAGGTTGTACGGACTACAGAATACGACCTATCTATGATGTTAATATACGATAACAATGAGTATATTTTTATACTTATTTTATATCTTAAGTGATTTCAACAAATAATTTGCCTTGGTAATAAGGTAATATTATGGTAATATTTTTTTTCCAGGGGGGGGGCAAGTGCCCTGTCTTGCCCCCCCCCCCGATGGGTGCCCATGATATTGTATATTAGTAAGACTAATAACAATACATGTAGTTATGTAAATTATGACATCCTTTTAATAATTTACATTCATATTAAATCAAACGTAAAATTTTATAAATTAATGCAAAGCAGTTTTATGCCTTAAATTGTTAATATAATACAATCACAATCATATATTCTGTGCCAACAGCCAACAGGTAAACTTATCCATCTTAATTAATTATTTGGCGAATTTCTATTAAAAGTTGGAATTTTTAAAACAAAAAACAATACTTACATACCTAGTTTTTGCTTTTTAATATGATACAATTATCATTATTCGTTAACATTTGTTAATGATTAAGGATTTAAGATGCTCTCTCACATGTGATAAAATATTGCTATCGACTAATTATATTAGATAAGAATTAAATTTTACATCTAAAACAAATTTAAATTCATTACTATCATTAAAATTGAATGCACTAACAAGTCATACTTATAACAGTTATAACCGGGTCTATCTTAAATACTGATCCTGAGCCTGCCTCTAGTTATAAGTAACTTGAGAGCTTTCAACAATATATAATTTACTATATAATTCTACAGTTTAAATGCGTATTGTGTTAACATAAAATATATTATGCATTCTTTTATTCAAATCATATACATAGAACTTAGTGTATTTAAAATATATGAAGAAAATGCATAACAGAAATAATAAGTTTTAATTAACTTTAATTTAAAATAATAAAAGAAAATTAAAAAAAAAAAAGAATACATTTCTTATTTAAACACTACAAAAAACAAGAGACATGTTCATTAAATGAATTAATAAAATGTATTTAAAATTCTAATATTTATTAACAAAATCAACAAAAAAGACTAACTATTGTGGATATTTGTTACTTTTGTATGAACATTGATTTCATTAAAATCCGATTTGTTTGTACTATCGTGTATTGTTGGATGATTGATTTTTTTTTGATAAAGTTTTGTAATCTGGCAAGACATTAGTTTTTTTCAAAGAATCAATCACCTGATCTACAGAAAGTGATGGATCAGCAACTACCATGTTTATAGCTATATTTGTAACATTTTGGTTTTGTTGAGTCTCTTGTAAATTGATTGGTGGCAATTGGCCACGAGTCTCTTTGTGAAACATACTATAATACAAAAAGGTCCTAATTAGTTAAATTAATATTACTATATCTAATCACAAAAAAAATGTATAATACTAACGATCTGAATGTATCTTCTGTGTAAAATATATCTGGTATTTTCAGTGATTGAGACGGCTTTGCATAATGTGGCTCTGATTCAGGTGGAAACGCCCGGTAAACATCGTACCATATAGGCCGATCATCAACTTTCATTGCACCTGACTTAATGAGTCCGTTAACCCTGTAGATATTTTAATAGTTCAGATTACTTTAAACTTCGCATACGGCATTATAACTATGTGTCGTTTATATAAGTAGTAAAAAATTATACAGTACCTTGTAAATATAGTTCCCAATTTTTCCAAACGACTTCCAGCCATAGTTGTGTTTATTAATTAATAATAAGTTGCAATACTTATATGAATCTTTACAATAATCAGTCAATAAAGTAAAAAAAATTAATTGAAGTCGGCAATTTCAGTATTATCATTTACGATAACATAATAGATACCAGATAAAAGAATATCATAACTGAATCAACCGAAAAATAATAAATAAATGAGAACGCGTACATTTTAATATTGAATATATGGCTAAACTGATTTGGCAATAACAAATAAACGATAAAATGATAAAAGATAATTATTAATTAATAATTAAACGAAGTTATAAAACATTATGGTGAATGGTGATCTTTAATAAAATATAAGTGATTAAATGACAATAAAATATTTAAATAGGTCAAATAAATAGTAAATATTAATTTTTTATTAGATAACATGTGGATATTATGAATAATTTATGAAAAAGTATGTTGAAATATGAGAAGTTCTACTGTGTTACCTAATAGCTTAATGCTTGTGTAAAAACAAATTGTTTCAAATCGCTAGTTGGAGTATATACTGTTCTACTTATTTATTTATCTATTTCTTACTATTCTTAATCTAGCTGTCTAGGTATAGTATTAAGTCTTTATTTATTCACATAATAATTCATAATTTCAGCAATTCAGTATAAATCCATTGATTATTTAAAATTTTTCAGCCTAACTAGCTTTTCGGTAGAGCATAAACTCTTATCTCAGGTTTATTAGTTTTATCCTATTGTGGTATGCCAATTACTTTTGACGTGAAGCTAAATAAAACAAAACACACAATATTAAACTATATACTTTAATACTGTTTTGTACTTCATCAAACAGTTGTCCATTATTCCAATAATATAATATGGTTTAAATCTATACTATTATATAATATTTAAATTAAATAATTTTAGCAACAATTAATTAAACTCATTATTTTACTAATTTTTAGTAATTATAAAATAAATAACTGTAATAGTAATATCAATATATTACCATAAAATTTATCTAGTTATTAATAGGTTGACAAATTATTTTCACTTAAAATCATCTTTCTTAAAGAATGATTATACGGTTTATCATTGAATTCAAATAAAACATATTACAGAGACTTACTTAAATATGAGGTAGGTATACATAGATGATAGACATCTACTGTATGACAGAAAGATAACTTACTTTTAACTTAGTTATAAGTAGGGCTAGGGACTTCATTCCCTAAAAAACCTTAAAATATGTATGCATTTATGCCTTTAAAAATTACCAAATATGTTATTAAAATATGCACAAAAAAATAAATAATAAAATTTTAATTTAGAGTAAAAAAACTTGTCATAATAAATAATTGATTTTCTTCTAACACCCGAGTTCTAGTCAGGAATCACGTGTGAGGTATACCATTAAGGCCATAGCCCATAAATAACAGTGGGAGCGTTCAGCAAGAAAAACAATACTAATGTCTAATTATATATATAAAACCATAAATGTAATATTTCTGGTCTAGGAAATCGATCTAAATTTAAAAGTGATTGTATAAAATATTTAAATAATTATAAAACTACCATTTTCATATTAAAAATGCTCAAATATGCAATTATAATTAAAAAATGGTCAAATATGCAAAATATGCAACTATAAATTTTAAATATGAACTCGTATTACCATGAAACAAATTTCTATATTACTTAGCTATGTTTTGAATGATTATTGAAAAACATGCAAACTCCTAGAAGTCCCTAGCCCTAGTTATAAGTATAACTAAATATTTTCTTAAAAAATAAAAATACAACTCATATTATTCCTTTGCATTTCAAATTAGCAACTGTAGCGATTTAGCTGGTAATTAGACCTTTATGTTGACAAATATGTATTTAAAATAATTTTACAATACAATGAATAAACAACAACAAAAAACTAATTAGTTTTAAAATGCAAACATAAACTTTTAATGTAAATTTCAAGTATTTATTATAGTTCGATTTTGAATTACAACAAAAAACCAAAATAGTTTGTGGAGAAATATTTATTACTTATTAAGTATACAAATGAATATGCAAGTACAAGTTTGAACTTCAACATCATCAATAATCATAAGAAATTAATTACTTATTAATAACTTTCCAGAAATATGATTAATTTTTTTATATGTGGAAAAACAAATAAAAAATCTAGAGTTTAATTTTCAAATCTTAGGTATAAAAAGAAAAATTTGTATGGTATTTGAATTGTAAAATGATTTATATAATTTCGAGAATTTTATCAAATTTCCAAATTCTTAACAAACGCTTTTAAAATTAAAAAAATGTGAATACATTTTTGATATTTATTGTCAATAAATGAAGAATTTATGAAAAATCTCTTTATAACTTTAAAATCATTTTTACTAGATGATACGTTTTTTATTCGTATTTGTAGAAAAAAAATTTCAAATTTCAAATGTCTATAAATAACTTAAAAAGAGTTAATATATTTTTAAAATATATCGGGAAACGCTATCATAACCATTTTGTGAAAATTTCAAATATCTAAATTCTAAAGTAATTTGTTTTTAAGTTAACCAATAAATTTAAATCGATTTTGTCAAAAACTGGTTTTGTGAAAAATATTGCAAGTTTTTTTTAACCTTTCTAAAGTATAAAGTCGAAACATTTTTTCAATTACTAATTACCGTGTATTTGAACGCATAAAAAAAAAACGTACAGATTCCTTATAAAATCAATACTGTATTGCTTCGCTCAAAATTTGAAAATTGAAATCATATGAATATTTAATTACAAAATAATTGATGAATTTTATCAACGTTTTAACAATAAAAACTTATAAAAAAATACTCTAACTATGTATTTTTTAAGTTGTTTATTTGGTAAATAAAAACTTATGAGAAACCTTGTAAGTATTAAATTTTACAATTTTTTTCAGAAATATTATTGATATTTATAGAAAAAAAATTTTAAAGCAAATACAATTTCAAATGTCAATGAGCTCAAACAGGTGTTGGTAAATTATATCATAAAAAAGTATGCTAACATTAATATTTGGGGAAAATGCCAAGTATCTACAGTTATTCATTTATGAATTATATCAATAAAAACCACTGTTGTCAAATATTGATTTTATATAAAAATTTTTATTTTTTTTTATTTTTCTTGGTTATTTTGAAAGTACTAAAAATTTTTTCAGTCTTGAAGGTATCAGTTAGACCACAAATCGCTATCATAAATTTAAAATTTTACTGCTCTAAAAGGTAAAGGGTAATAATAGACACACGCAAAAAAAAATAAATGAAAAACAACCAAAATTGTAAAATCAATACTTCCATCGACTCCGTTCAAAAATTAAAAATTTACGAATTTTCGTTTTTTAAAATTACGTTTAATTATAGAATAACAACTGTAAAAAAAATATGTTTTATTTTATAAATTGTCTATATCAATAGCGTAAGGTCGTAAGCGTGTTTGTATTAAACAAAACCGATTTCAGACGTCAGTTTTGTCGTTGGGTTGAAACGAGCTCGATCAATACACCAATATTATTTTTTTGACGTCCAAGAACTTACACATCTCGTTCTTAAATAATTTGTGTAGGAACTCAGGACTCAGTACCGTGTGAGTCTGTAGGAATTGAAGTGTACGGGTAATATTTTACCTGTTACTCCCGTGTTGAAACTTACGATTTCTCCCGGAAATTCCGGCCACGAACGAAATAGTCTACTGTTGCGACATAATGGAATAGGTTAAGGTTCCGCCCGAGTCCTGAACGAGTCGGTCACGTACACGGCTAAATAAAAACTCGGCGCGGAATGACTTTCGCGTGCCGACCAGAACAACGATCACCGACGGCCCTACCTAATTTTCGGACAAAATCCAGGGACGTACGTACGTCAGGACGACGGTCGACTCCAATCACTTTGAACGCGAATCAATCAAAAAAAAAAAAAAATCAAAAATACCTTATGCGGCAGTCGGCGGAACCTAAAACCGTTAATTCGGTACTAGGAACCGATAAGGAAACGCTCTCCGTCCGCCGAACGCCGCCCGTGAAAATAACACCACGCTCACGGGTGCGGCGTAACGCGTACCGGCGCGGCCGTCTCTCCTGGGCCCCTGGTACCGACGGCGAACGTTCAACGACGAATATCCTTTGTTCGTCGTTTTCCCGTTCTCGTCTTTGAATTTTTTTTTTTTTATTATGTTTTTTGTTTCCGGATTTTTACGTACCTACGTATCGCTAACCGAATGGGCCCAGCCGGCCTTGACTTTGGGATCGGCCACAGTGTATCAGGAGATGATGTGCCAACAGAAGGTACTCGATGGGGAGAATATTAATATAATATTATTATTATTATTATTATTATTACCTACGTACGCTCATAATATTCTCGTAATATTATGGGTACTTCTTTAAATAATAATATAATAACATGACGTAATCACGGCATTATAATATTAGGTACGTTGTGTTGTTATTATTGTTATTTTGTTTTACGATTTTTGTAAAAAACCATCTTGAAATTCGTAGGAAACCACGTTTACAAAACGCTCGGACGATAAACTAATAGGTATTCCGTACACACGTAAAATAATATTTTATATAGGTAACGTATTTTATGAATAGACAAAACGCAATATTATCGTACATTATTTTTTAGTAGATGATGTCCAAGGCGTCGGACGTCCCACCGTTGTTTTAATTAATATTTTTTATCGTTCGTAAAACTAATATAATATCTACCGTCGTAGACCGTATTATGTTCTTGACTTTTGAATTTGCCCTCCTTCCTGTGTATATTTCTGCGGGCGCCCTTAGTCTGTATTTAAGTCAACACACCGATATTCAATTTTCAATGAATTATTTGAATATCATGGTTAATACCGTAAAATATATAGCTTTTAGGAAACAAGTTAAAATGAATCTAAATAATTCAAAAATTGCATTGTTTGGTATGATGAATAAAATACGTAATACGCAGTGGTGAAAAGTTTGAAATCCTTGCGAATGGTATTTTTCGAATTTCAATAAAATTTTTTGTCTAAATATTCAATTATTTCATCGAATTTGAAATGTTTTTCAAAGACATTGTACCTACGAGTACGTATTTTAAGTTTCTGTAAAAACAACTTTTTTTTAAAAGTATTGCAAAAAAAAAAAAACTAAATTATTTTGAAATTTATATCGATTGTAGTACCTATTACCTATATACTAGTAAAAATTAGGTAACGAAAGATTCTAGTCTCCACAGAATATATAATTTCTAATTACAATTTACAATACCAAAATAAAATTAAGTCAATAAGTTCTGTTTAAATATTCTTATTAGTCAAATATATATACAAAAATATATTATACTTTTGGAAAAAAATAAATAAATTTTAAGATATTCTTAGAAATAGAGGACGAGTACTGAAAAATCGTCTATACTCCATTCATTTTTTTCATAAGCAATGATTTGTCATTTAACGTACCCATTACACGTTGACTAATTCGATGAGCTAAGACAGTTATGTATTCTTTGAAATTTACTACCTTTTTTTTAAATGTCAATACCAATAATATTTGATAACTACAGATTCTCTACTTCTCTATTTTTTTTTTTTTTATATGTTTTTAATAAACGTTATCTCTTTAAATTTCGTAACAAACGTTAAAATATTTAGCATCTCCGAACGGTATCAGTTTTCTTAACAATCTTGTCTACGTCACCGCTGGTTAACTGCGGACAAAAAACTCGCGCCATTTGACGGTTATTATATTGATAAGAAAGAGTTCATTTCGAATGTATCTACAGCCCAACATACTGTATAGTTTTATTTTATAATTTTTTTTTAATCAGTAATAGACGACAATTTACTTCGAATGCTAAACAATTAATTATTTAATTTTAAATTTCAGCTTATTTTCTGTTTTGTAGTCTCTCGTTTTAATTTTATTTATTTCAGAAAACCTTTTGAAATTCCGTTTTAAACATGGACAAAGACTTAACAAATTTCAAGAAATGGTTCCAACACCTAGGGTTGGAAGTGGATGGAAAAATAGACGACGAAGTGCTAAAAAAGTGAGTCATCTCTTTTGTGCTCGAATAATTAAATACTTAAATGTGTACGAATGTTTCCGATAGTGATTAAAATTAACAATTTAAATAATTTATTTTGATACTCGTAGACTGATGCCGCCTCAACGACGAGACATGTGGAGACATATTATTAAACATGTACGTTCCAAAGAAGAAGTGGATTTAATTAAGAAATCCTTATTGTTACATAAGCTCCAAAAACGTCAAAAACCATTAATGGTAAGACATCTAAGAAAATTGTTATTTTGAAAGAAATTATGAATAATTTAAATATATTTGAAATAATGAATAGAGTCAAAATGGATAAATACTTATTTATTTAAATACATTTCGTGATTTTTTTTCAAATAGGTACTTATAGAAACTAAATTTTTGGTATGCTTTTTATTTTTATATTTCTTAAGTGAAATTTACAATCATTATTATCTACTTTCTTATAGTTAAATTTTTTCATTGTTAAAAATTATTTTAATTTCCATCATTGAGGATAGTCTTCCTTCTCATATTATAACATTGTTTATTTGTATTGTATTTATTGAAAAATTATTGTATTTGCCATTTTTCTAAATCATTAGTTGTAATGTATATTATTTTATTAATTAGGTTATAACTAGGGCACGGATGTTGTTGCATTTGCAACTTTTTTTTTACTTTTACAATTAATTGCTAAATAAGTTTAAAATGAGTGTCATGTAAGTACGAACTAAAATCTAAAAGTTTTAAGTGCAATTTTTGGATTTTTATTGCAGTTTTATTGATTTTACTCATTTATAAAAACATTTTAATAATTTTTTTTTAGTTTTCACATAATTTCAATTTTTAAATACTTTTTAAATAGTTTTGTAAATATTGTTAGAGGGTTGCTCTGAAAATTTGGCGGTAAGCTATTTAGTTTATTTTAAGTATGCTCTGCTAATATCAACCGACATATAGAATGAAGTTTTTCAAGGTATAAAAATTCACTAGCTCCAAATTAAAGGACATTAGATTTTGAAAATTTAAAAAAATTACTTATAGTTTAATTTTCTAGAGCAGTTTTTACTGCAATCAATTTTACTAGTTTTTTAGTACTACAACATTCGTGTCCTAGTTATAATTTATACTATTTATAGGTAATTATAAATATTTCAAAAAAAATTAATAATTAAATTACTATATTGTTTAAGTCAAAAGTGGAATCGTATAATGATCTTGCTAATGCATTAGAATATGAAGATCTTATTACAAAATATAATAAACTTCAAAAGGAGATTACTGATGCCAAATTAAATAACAGCAAATTGAAAATTAATTTAAAAGAAAAAATTGAACACAAAAAAAATATTATTAAAAATATTGAAATCAAGCAAAATACATCATATGTAGCAAATCATAAAATTGAATATTATAATGAATTTATCAAAATGTATAACGAATTATCAAATATTTGTGACCATTTTTCAAAAGAAGCAAATAAAGATTTGACCAAGGCTAATTACGAGGTAACATAACATTTCTATAGCAATTGAGTAAGTGGTAAAATAATTTTTGCTTTATACATAATTTTAAATTTTAGGATTCTTTGATTATATGTTGTACAGAAGTGGATGATGCTAAACAATTAGGTGTGATGAATGATAGTGTAAATATTGGAAAAAAGTTGTGCAATGCTATATACACAACTATAAGTGATAAGTCTCCAGCTGTTTTACTCCAAACTGTTGAAGAAAATCTAATAATTAATATAAATAAAAGTAAAGATACTGTTTTAGAGGCTAAAGAAACTGTAATACATAACAGGTAAATATTTTAGCCTAATTTTTTAATTATATTTTTATAAAATAGCTTTATACGTGTTTTTATTTTAAAAGTGAGGATGACATTGAATACGAGAAAGTACTTGAGACACTTTTTCAAGAGCAAATAGAGTTAGAATCAAATTTATCCAACTTATTAGCTGAAAAGGAAAATGTTTTAAAAAATTTAAAAGAGACAACAAATCTAGTTAAAAATGAAATAATAAGTCAATACAAAGTAAATTTATTTAATGAATAATTATATTTTAAAACATCAGTTAACCAACTATTGTGACATATATTTAATCTTTACAATTTTTTTTATTTTTAGCTGAAAAATTTATCATTTACTGAAGATGAATTGCAAGTATTTAAGAAAAATTTAATAGGAACTTTCCAATTGTGGTTTAAAAACACTTTAGAATGTTCTAAGGCAACTATATTCCAAGAAAACGTAATTTTTGAAGATGAATCATTAAAAATCTTGGATCAGATTGTCGAGCAAACTAACACCTTAAACGAAGAAATAGTTAGTTAATAGTTAATTCATCTTATATTAAATAATTCAATACATTTTGTATTTTAATTTTTTAGACTCAGAAAAAGATAAATATAAGTGAAATGTTAAAAGAGTTAAATAATAAAAAAAGTGATTTTGGATTAGTGGAAACAAAATCAGTTATGAACAATTTAGCTGAAAATTATTTGAATACAATAATTAACAGTAATTTGATAAACAAAATAGTAACATCTTTAAAAGCTTCTGTAGTTAATGATGTTAAAAATACAAATAAATTAACATTTAGATCATCTCCAAGGTAAGTAAATAAAAAATTTATTAATAATACATTTTATTGTCATGATATTTTGTTGAAGGTTAAGTTTTATACATTTACGAACCTTGAAAGATATGAAACAACATTCTGAAATAATTGATATTATTTGTGAAAAAGCAAAACAATTTGAACAGTTCAACTTAGTAATTTGTGAGTTTTTTTAAAAAACTGTGTATATAATATGTGAATTATTTGTTAATGTATTTATTTTTATTTAGCCACGGACAATAGTTTTAATGAAATTGTACAAAAAGAAAATATTCATAAATCAGAATTTAAAAGTATTATTTCACAAATAGAAAACAACATTTCAGAGTTAAAATTGTGCATAGAAGACAGTAAACTTGTTGCTAATATATTGTGAGTAAATTATTTTTACAGACCATGATATATTTACTTTAGAGCCACATGTTATTTCCATTTTACAAATTTACAATATGGCTGATTTGACATGAAAACACAGATAATGTTCTAATTATTCTTTTAAGTTTGACTATAAGTTATTTTATTCTAATATTCAAGCTAAACACACAAAATTGGTTATACTAAAACATGCCATGTAAGTTTGTAGAACAAGCACAACATGAGAGTATGGCATCCTCTTAAAATATAGTATTATTATAGTTTTATAGAATAACATTCAAAATTTTGATTTTGATTAAGTGATTAAATATATAGTTAAACAAATTGTAGATTGTATAAGAATTTAATTTCAAAAAATAATTTAAACAAGTTATTCAATACCTACTTTATTATTCCATTCATATGGATAGTTTAAAGTATTGCTTTTATAATTTAATTTAAATTTGTTTAGATTAACCAAGGAATTACTAAATAGTTTGGCTATTAATTAGTTTACCTATCAAGGAGTTGACAAGTAAACAATTCAAGGTTCAGTAAAAATTTTCAAATTTATAAAAAAACAATTCTTCATGTAGATTGATATGTAAATAGTTATTTTTTTATTTAATAGTTAATTAAGTTTTTATTAATTTATTTTTATATTTAAAATTATGTTTATTATTTTAATATTTTTGTTATTAACAATTTATTGGTTTATCTGATTATCTTTTATAACAATTTAAATAAATAAGTGTCGTACGTTGTTTAATTTTGTATTTTCAACAGTTCATTACTAATTGTACGAAAAAATGCTTAAATATTTCAAATTATGTGATTAAACTTGACTAAAATGTTATTTTTTAATCTACCTGAGATTATTCTACACAATATTATGTTACAAAAATATAATGATGAATATATTATAATTTCAGAATCTCTTAAAAATGATTATAATGTGTTATATCACTTTATATTTGACAGTCATAAAGAAGCATATCATTTTAAATTAATGCTAATAAATCTATTATCTAATAACTGGTTTAAATACTAACAAAAGTGTTGGTAATAAAATTGTATGCGTATAATATAATGGTACAAAAACTCAATGATTATTTTCACAAAATTATAAATTATTAACGTTTTAAAATTATTTTGTAATTGAAAATTTTTAATTATAATAGCTAAAACTTAAACACTATTTTTCAAAAGTTTTTCTTGATTAAATTTAAAATCATCAACAACTATAACATGGCATATTTTATTTGTATAAATTCAAAGTTCAATTTTTAATATTTAAACATATAATTATTTTTCTTCTAATGATTTTAGTTATTAAATTGTAATTAAAAAATTATTGACTATGATGACACTGACTCTTACATTGGATGTCAATTTAATTTTGCAATTTTAAAGCCTAAACTTCTAACCCATGATGAACAATCATTATGTAAAAATAAATAATAAGATTAAAAAATATAATTTTTGTTAATTAAATAAACTAAAAAAGCATAGGTAGCTTAATTAACTTATGAAATGTACACAGAGGATATAATGTAGGATGCCCATATTATGTATTTTCATTAAAGCTTATAGTTAGAATGCATTTTGCTATCTGGACATCCAGATTATGAGAATTATTTCAGTAAATGGATGTGATGTATCTACAGTGCTATATTATTTAATGTTATATGACTATATACATTTAAAAGAACAACTTACTTTAATTATTTAGATAATGATATCTAATTTGTATGAACAAATTATAAGATATTTAAATGTAAGCATTTATAATGTAATTTAAATATGAACTGTTTTTGTATTTTGATTATCATTAAATGCATGATTTTTCTATTCTGGTTACCTATCTATACTAGAACTATCTATATAAATATTATTTTCTTAAATTAATACAACTATAAATTTACTAATACAATTTGGAAGAAAATAAAAATATTTTTACTTGTCAGAATATTTAAAAACAAAAAAAAATAAAGAATCAGTATGGATAATAATACTTTTTAGTATTTGTTGTGGGTTAATATGGTTAATAATGATTAAAATGATCCAATTTTTTTTTTTTTAAATAAACAGTTTATTTATTTCATTGTTTAACTTTATACATGTATATCGTATTATTTCTAATTCTCTACAAATGCAACATATTATGTTGACAGTAACAGTAATTTTTCTGATATTTGAACAGATGAACATGTCATGCATATTTAAAAGTACAAACATCAATCATAAATGTATAAATTAAATTTAAATAGACACTAAATATCCAAAATTTTAAAATTCTATACTAAACTAAATTAAAGTTATTTTAACAACTAAACTTAATGTTGAACACTTGAATTTGAAAGTATAAAATTTAAGAGTAAAATATTAAAATAAATATTGTTTAATAAGCAAAATAAATAAGTGACATACTAACATAAATCACAATTAATAGTAAAATACAATATACAATTAAATTGTAAACAACTTTTAGTTATCAAATAAAACATTGTGCTTCAATTAAATATAATTAATTAATAATATTAATAAGCTTCTGACATATTTAAATATGAAATACAAGTATATAAATAAACAGCTTTATACATTTACTATTTAAATACACAATATATTTAGTACTTTTTTCTAAATATTAAATTAGATAACAATCATAATAATATCGTACTTACTACTCAGACCCATACACATAATAAAAAAGTTTATAATGTTTACTAAGTGATATACAATGTAGATGGATAATGCTGACTTCAATAAAACGTTTATGGACTAAATACCTCTACTAACATTCTTTTTTATAATAAACAGTTTTCTTATTTATAACAAGAATATAATTTTAGTAAGTATTATATGATAAATACTTTTTAGAATATAAATAAATAATAATATGGAGATTTTATTGTGCCTTGAAGTGTTACCTCATCACATAATTTACTATTACATGTAATAAAATACCTTTTTAAGATGAATAGCACATGCCATTTTACAGCAAACTTAAATGAACAACAAACTTTTGAAAATTAATGGTTTACTAGTGTATATTAAAAGTTAGCCCAACATTGTACTATCAAATTATATAAATCTATTATTGTTTTTAAATAATATCTAATAATGGTTATTTCTTAGTATCAACTTAAATGCTATTAGCTAACTGAATGTAAAATTGCTTAGCAGTCAAGTATTCTACCTAGTATTTTCTTTTTAAATTATCAATTATTTATGTGTCATGCCATTTAAAAATATTTATGAAAAATATCATTTAAGTACTCCCTTATAAGTATTTAGTGACAAGTTTACATTTATGTTTCCTATTTATACTTCTTTCATATTAGTAATATATAATGTATATATAACTAATTTTATTTAAATATGCACATATTTGTTTAAATAATACATGCAAATCTAATAAATGATAACCAACTTAATATTAAAGTATAATAATTATTGAAGCAGTCATAAATAGATATGTTTATGATACTTTTATTCACATTTTGAGTAATATGTTAAAAAAAATTAAATTTATTAAGTATAAAAAAAGCTTAATACTAAACTAAACTAAAATTTATTTAAAAATAATTTTGTATGGTTGTTAATATTAATAACTTTACCATATTAAATTATATTATATTATTTATTAACTATAATAAATACTTATTGAATTTTATGTTTATAAAACTTAAATAAAAATAAAATATTAGGCAATATTTTTTATAAAAATATGTAAGAGGGGATCTATGGTTTATTTAAAACATTCTGTGTATAATTAAAATGTGTCAGCTATTATTTGTTTTAAATAAAATTTATAGACAATTATTATGTATTAGAATAAAGTAATTCAAACATTTATTAGTTTAACAATTATGTAATATGTATATTGGTTAAATATGACTTTACAAAATTATAATAGTACTAGAAATTAGAATGTGATAAAAGTGATAGTATTAAGAAAAGATTTAAACTTTTGAAAAAACTAAATAAATAAATAAGAGGATTTATATTGTTTTAAGACTGAGAAGGTTGTTGAGCAGTATTTTCTACTTCCAATTGACGTAATTTTTCAGATTTAGAAGCTAATTGAGTGGCCAACTCTCGATTAGCATAAGCATAATACTCTAATAAATCTAATAAGCACCGACTATCTTGTTGTTCGGGACTGTAAAAATAAAATCAATATTTAAATATTTAGTATTATAGTTAAGGAAGTATATAGCTACATTTTATAGTTAATAAATTTACTTTGGAATCTCTCCAGGATTTGTTTGTTGACTTATTGTTATGTCATTATTCTGTAACACTTGAGGTATCCATCGATCACAATGATTTTTTTCTTCCCAACCACATACATCTGGTGGAGGCTTTTCTAGGTTAAATTTTCTTATAGAATCTAAAATGTAAATAAAAATCATAGAAATAATGTATTCACTAAATAAGTATTATGAATTATAATCAATTAAAAAAATAAATATATTTACTCACTTGCATACAGTAATGAAGATATTGTGACACATACAAACTCAATAATAAGTAATATAGCTATTCCATTTTTTGGTGACATCAACATATTAGCATCACAATATGGTTGCATATCAGCAGCATCTTGTTGAGCATATACAGCTATAAATATAGCTAATAATACAGTCCCTGTAATTTAAATAAATAAATAAATGACCATCTATAGATTTCAATTTAACTAGTTTATTTTGCTTACATAATGATACTAATTGAAATGGAATCACTGCTAGGCGAGTAAGTCTTGCATAAGCACGTAAATGTCCACGAGATCTTAATGTTTTATGATGCATATGTCGAGCAACATGGTCCAGTACCTATAAAAATAAATAAATATACTATGCAATGTTAATAATCAAAATAAATACCTAATTGATCAATTCATGACAACTCACCAAAAATAAAAACCATACACAACAATGAGCATAAACGAGAACATATAATGGTTCACATTTATCTTTAGGAGGTAGATCTGTTGTTGTAGAAATTGATGTGGTAGTCCCAATTTGTTCTAAAGGTTTTAAACGCCATACAGTATCATCCATTTCTTTTTTATTCACAATTTTTTCAAAAATTAAAACATTGGATTCTAAATAGACAGCAAATAGTACCAAAATTGCCTATAATAATAAAAAAAACAACTTATAATTCATATTTCTATTTAATAAAAATTAATTATTACATAAAATATATCTTGTTTTCACATGGACTAATTATTTTTAAGAGTATATATATGTATATTTAAATTCACTAAAGATGCAAGTTAATCTTTCTTCATTTGAAATTTATAACATAACAATTACTTAACAATTATTATTTATATTTATTGAAATAATTCTATACTAAAGCAAATTGGCACTTGGAGAAATTAGAAACTTTCCTCAGAGGTAAATTTTTATGTTAAAAAAATTGTATACATGTATTATGTACTTAATTTCAAATCTACTAAATCAACTAATATTTACAAAATTATTCCATTTGAAATATTTACTAATGGATAAAGTTATTAAAAGAATAAAAAGTAATCATGTACTCATATTATGTTTAGATTTAGCATGTTTGTCATTTACTAATTTAAGTAG